ATTCAAATTTGCATTTATTCATTCCAATTCTTTGGTAAGTTCAGCCTCTTATATTAATAGAATTAAAGTAATTAATTTGCTTTTTTTTTTTATATAGTAAAAATAAATTTATTCATTAATAATAGAAAAATACAAAAATTATAAGCTAATTCACATGATGTAACGCACTAGAAACATTAGAAAATTTAAACTTAAATACGTAAAACACTTGATTAAGCATTTGATAATAGAGTAGTTTAATGGTTATATTGATATGATAATTGAATCTAATTTTTAACTTGACAATAAAGTCACAAGTTAATATAATTTACCATAGCTAAAAAATAAAAAGGTAATTGTTAAAATAATCTGTTATTTCAAAACATTCTAAGATAACATAATACTTATCACCCATCTCTCTTATTCTTAACCTTTCAATTAAAATGATATAAAATAATAATAAAACTTACATAAATTTTTTTTAAAAGAATAAAATTTCCCATAAGATAGCTTTAAAGAGAGACAAGAACCCTTAATTAGAAAAAACTTAAAGAGTAAAATAAAGTATAAAATCATGAAAAAAAGAAGAAGAAAGGAAGAATCAAGAACAGAAAAGGGCAGGGAAGGATGGAAGTAGAACGAGGGAGGAAACCCTTTTGTCCGTATTTAATTAGCAATTGTTTAAATCTGATTTTGTTCGCCCAACTTTGGTGCCAAATCTTCTTTTAGTTTTTAAACTGAAAAAAATTTAATCTAATCCTTAAAGTTTTATATAATATTTTTTCGGCTCTTTTTAATTATTTCATTGAGTTTCGTTTGCACGATACATTAATTGATAGCAGCATAAGTTGTCCTTTAGTTTCTATTACAGTTGCTTCAGTTTTGGATCTCTAAGGTCTGAATGCGAACAGTGAAACCCCTACAAAATGTCTTGATAGAATCCCACATCGGAAGTGAGTACCAGTTAAACTTCTTTATATACAGGTGCGCTGTGTATCAGGTTTAGATGATTTGATCTGTTGGATTATACAGACAAATACTTCATGGCCTTACTTTTGACCAAGTACTGCCATGAACTATGTGTCTGTATGGTTTAATATGTTTGAATAATCTAAGACAAGTACTGCAATAAATGAAAATTGAAAAAGGAGTTAGTAGTACACAAGTACGGCAAAGACTTTCTCTCGTGGAATCTATATCATGGTCAAATAACATCTTCATTCAACAACTTCTACAGGTTCCTTTCCCTCTGCTTCAACCATTCGTCGCCGGCAACCATCTTCTTTTCTTCTCTGGTCATCATCATCATATTCCATGGCCTCAGAACCATCAAATCTCATCCAAGCTTTCACCTTTCCCCTCATCTCCGAATTCTCCTTCCATTTTCGATTTTTCCTCTCATCTTCGATCTTTGATTCATGGTCACCGGGGAAGGCCAGAGGTGAGTGGATGTCAAAAACAGTGAGGATGTGCCCAGATCTGCAGATCGGTGATGGTGGTGGTGACGACGCGCAAATAGCTGCAAAATCAAGAAATTCCGGACTCACCCGGCTCCCACCTGAGTTCTTGATTTGTAACCTTCAAGTTTGATTTGTTCTTCAGCGAATCTGGCCTCTTATCAACTTTGATATGAGGCTGGTTCTTACTTATCAGGGCCCAAATCTCTGGACAGAGGCAGGGAAGGAGCAGATCCAATTGGGTAAGGTTTCAGGGGGTCTCGGCCTGATTTTAAGGGATGGAGTAGTCCGTGATTTGGGTCATTTT